TGTACGAAGACGCGTCCTCAGTGGTCATGGTGAACGGGAAACTCTCGCAGAGCTTCCCCCTCACCAGATCCCTAAGGCAAGGATGCCCCCTGGCCCCACTCCTCTTTGTCATTCAACTTGAGGTCCTCATTAACAACATCAAAAAGAATGACGCAATTGTAGGCCTCAGTATTCCCCACTCGATACAATGGAAGGGGGGTGCGCTAGCTGACGACCTGACCATTGCCTGTGCGAACACGATACCATCCATGCAATCTCTAAGGGGCGTTTTAGACGAATATTGTGTTCTCTCTGAAGCGTCCATTAACTGGGAAAAGTCAGCATTTCTCCTCCCAGAGCCATTCATAATTTCCGTGGACTGGGGCCTTRAACAAGTCCCGGCTAATAGCTCGGACAGGTTTCTAGGTATCCAAGTCTCCCTCACGGACTGTTCTGCCGCTCAGGATGCTATCCTGGTTGAGAAAGTCACGGCCAGGATCTTGGGGTGGTCCCGGAACTTCATACTTTCGCTCTTCGGTAGAGCCCTAGTTATTTCATCAGCTGCTTTCTCTATCCTGTGGTTTCCGCTAACAATCCATCTGTTGGGGGAGGATGCATACAAGAGAATTAAATATGTGGTTGCCCGCTATTTATGGAAACCAGCCGCCTCGGATCTGCAGGGCTACATTGGCAAGGTGGCCTGGGAAACGATATGCTTCCCCAGAAATGAGGGTGGATTGGGTATCCTGGATCCGGCACAGCAGAACATAGCCGTCCTGGCCAAGTGGCCTACCCAAGCCATGTTCGAACCAGACAACAAAATTTGGAAAGCTTTTGCAGAATATATCCTGATGGAAGAGTGGAGCCTTTCTCACCCCTCTCATGTATGGCTTTGCTTTCTCATCAAGTCATTTTGCAACAGGCACCCTAAATCTAGAGTTTGGAGGAACATTCTGGCAGCCTGGAACAAAATCAGGCCAGGCCGCAAATGTTAAATGAAATCTTGTTTGAGAATGACCTGCTTAAACAGCAGGAGGGCACTCCCCTGTTGGCTGATGGCAGCCCGGGCTCCTTCGGGAGAGCCTGGGTAGAGAAAGGAATCATTCAACTCAAAGATATTTGGGATTCACAGTCGAACGACTGGATCCCCCTGGAATCCCTTAGATCCAAGGCCCCGAGGTTACATAATCTGGCCCTGAACTACGACAAAATTAAACAAGCGGTGCCCCCACACTGGGTAGCCGCCCTGAAGCCAACAGCTGACTGGTCGCCAGGTACTTGGCTGTTTGACCCCATTGACAGAAACACTATGTGGAAGGCTCTTGGCCCGGATCTGAGACCAGGGACCAAGGCACAGATGTGGACCTTAAAAAAAAAGGACAAGCAATGGGGAGCCCTAAAGTACACAGAGGAGGTCGTGATTCACCCCTCAGCAGACTGGAAGGAAGCCAGGGTTATGGAGGACTCAAAAAAATACAGTGCTCCCTCCTGCCCCTGGTAGTATCCACTCTGAGGATTGAACCCATGATTCAGGGTTGGTCCTTGAGATACTCCAGCCGGGTCTCACTGGGGCGAAGCCAGACAATCCCGCTTTTTGAGTACAAACCAAAAGCGGGGGTGGCGAGTCTGAGATCCAGAAAAGAGAAAAAACCGCTTTGGATGGTGAAGAAACGCAACCTAGCGAACCAGATCTCTACGCCTCAAGACATAGAGCTTTTTAAACTCTGGAAGAGCCTGAAAAAGATGCCGGCCCAGAGAACAGCAGCCGTAATGTGGCTCCAGTCCATGCAGGTCACAGCTACTTCTGTATGGCTCAAGGCCAAGGGCCTCCCGATATCGGTCACCTGTGTCAGATGCGATTGGGCATGGGAAACGGCTCCCCATCTGTGGCTGTCCTGTCCTTTTTCCTCAGAACTCTGGGAGTGGTGGAAGGAAAGATGGAGACTAGCAGGACTCCAACCAGACGTCTGGACAGAGAGCTTCATTCTACAAGGGATCTCAGACAACGATGGCACACTAGACAGTGGGATCAACTACACTGCCCTCGTATGCCGAGGAGTAATCATGGAAGCTATCGGGTGGACTAGAAACGAGCTCCTGTTCAAAGGAGGAAAGCTTAGTCACCCCCATATCTGTAACAAGATACTGGCAGACCTGCGACTCACCATCCTATCAGACTGGCGCTCAAGAAATTTTATATGGTTTGCCAAAACATGGGCCCACAATGGAGCCTTTGGCTCAATGAACTCGAAGGGAGGGATGGTATTTGCTGAATGGCTAAGACCATCCGGTCCCAAACATAGTAGCACTTAATGGTTGTTTCCTTTTTCCTCTGTCGTACTAGTTTATGAGTCCAGTTGCTTGTTTTTTTGGAAGGATGGCTTTTTGGGACGCTGGACCCGGTTTCCAGCACAAGCCTAAGCTGGGTAGTGGCCCCAGTTTTTCCTCCGAGGTTTTCCCGGGGCCTGGACCCACTAGAGGGAGGTTTAGTTTAGTTTTGGAGTTGTGTGACAGCCAGGACAGCAAAGAAAAGAAAAGCTAAAATTTGTGCAGCCGTTAGAATAGTGGGCTGCCTGACAAAGATGTGCTATATCAAATTTGCATTGAGAGAGAAAAAGTAAAGAGAGACCTGACAGTTGAATCTGACGACTGACAGACCAACCACAGCTTTCTTCACACACAGGAGGGAGTCCTTGTTTCTAGCCTACTGCTTGGTAGGCTAGAATCAAAGACTGCGGGCCTTTGGGCGGGAAAAGGATTGTGTGGGCATTGCCAGTGTTAAGAGACTATTCTTTTCTGTTTGTTGCCTTTCTTTGAATTTTCTTTAACATTTTATTGCATTCTTCTAAAACGCCCAGTCATGACTGGGCGTCCGATCTGTTACATCCAATGGCCAAAGTGTGTCACTCGTGTCCCACTGTATTACATTTCTAAACTAAACAGCTGCTAGTGGGACCAGGCCCCCGGCCTCTTTTTATTCGTTTGGAAATAAAGCTATTCTTTCTATAAAAAAAAAAAAAAAAAAGACAAAAATGTGGCGGGTGCATCTGGCGATGTTCTAGGAGGAAGTGCTTCTCACTTTGCACATTTCGAGACTGGTGTGGCGATGCCCTAAACGGGCCGATCGTTCTCTGCTCCTTTCTTTTTTCTTCTTTTTTCTTTTTTTCTTTTTTTCTTTTTTTTCTTCTCTCTGCTCCTTTGAAGAATGTATCGCTTTTTCTTTTCGTCTTTCGAAGAGGATTTTATTTGCCAAACACCCTGACTTCATAGCCCAGCATCAGGGAAAAAAAATAAAAAAGGACGATCAAAGCGTTCTTCTTACCGCCTTTTGCCTCCCGTCTCCCACCGATTGCGTCGTTTCTCCCGAACTTCCCCTCCCTTCCGTCCCGTCCTGCGTCTCGACTGCTGCACAACACGGCAAGTGATGATATTGAGGGACCGACCACGCTCGCCGGGAACCACGGGCGGGGGGGCGGAGGGACGAAACATGTCACGGCGCGAACATGGAGGAGCACCTCCCTCCACCTATTCCTACTCTTCTTCGGTGCTGCAGGCGGGTGGCTTGCGGGCGGGCGCGTCGCCGACCTTGCGCGGTAAGATCAAAGAACTCCTTCGACATACCCAGTCCTTGGGGCCCTCATCCCTCTGAATGATATGCCTCCCA